CAGATTCATGAGTTTTAGGATTAAGTAATGAAACAGAACTAAGTGAAATACGTTATCCTTGCTTCTTCCACCCTTTTGTTTCTGCAGGAAAGCCCAAAAGATTTTTCAGCCCAGCGTAGGGAATGGATGAAACCTTTAATTCTTTTGCCTCCAGAAGTCTGCATTTAACAAAAGGCAACTTGAAAGCGTGTAAGAGCTGACTCTTCAGATGAGAGGCCAACACACTGCATTTCTCATTCATAATCCCTTCAGTAATCCTAATCCACTTCAGATCTGGAGCCTTTCTTAAGCATCACATGGGAGAGGATTCTTAAGGCTGCTCAAGACAACTGGGCAGCAAATAAACCGAAAGCTCTGCGCTCGTGGCAGGACAGCACATTGGTTTTGTAGTGCAGGTGCTGAAAGACATGGCAGTTTCTGCTGGTGCCCGAGGGAGCAGGAGGAGTTTCTGAATCTGTAATCGAGCCAATCACTTCAGAGATTATTGAGCACTTTGGGTACTGAATACAAACAAAAATTTAAAAAGTGGAGAGCCTCAATTATGTTTATCTTAATAAATCCTTAAGTTAGGAATTGGTGGCAAGGTAAGTTGCATTTTCTTTTCTCTGTAACCATGTTTTGTGGTCAGCAGTAGTTACTCAGCACCCCTAGTGGGAGGCGAGATATCCTTTTATATGTTTAGCTGTGTAAAACTGTGGTTGGGAGTTTTCTGTCTGAAATTCTGCTTTTCAGCACTGCAGTAACTGTGCAGGTGCAGAGGTCAGTGCAGGTGTGAAACAAAGCAAGCTTCACCTTCTAATTCGCAGCTGTGAGGTGTGCTGAGTCTGGTGTACACGTGGGACATCGGTATTTACTCTAGGAGGGCAAGGCAGGATCATCACTTTCCCCAGTACCACCTAGCATTTTGATTCTTGGGAGAAGTATTTGATTTTCATTTTGATTAATCTGTAGATCTTAATCAAACTGTTGCTGTTTTAGCAGAACTTCAAATTTCTCTTTCCCTTTCTTTTTCATTATTTTTCCTAGTAAACTTTCAGTAAGTTTGTTGTATCCTGTCATTGCCTTCCAGATCTGCTCATCTCTTCCCTCAGCTGTCCAAATGTCTGTAAAATTGTCAAATTAGTGGGGATTCAGTGGTGAAGTGAGTTATCTTTCCTAGAAGCCCTGTTGTTTTGGAGTGATGTGACAGAGCATGTAGGATTTGACTCAAAACACTGTCACTTGCTTTGGTTTGGAAGGAGTTAGAATAATATTTGTGGTAAGCCAGGAAATTTACCTTGGTCTCTGTTGTTGTTGTTGTTTTAGGGTGGTTCACACAAACAGATTTGTGCGAGTTTTCCTTTGATGAGTTTTATGTGCTATTGTAGGGTATTATTAAACAAATACAGCCGCTTGTGTTTTAAAAGGTTCAAAAATGAGTATATTAACCACTGCCTTGGGAGGTGTACGTGGAGTGTGGCTGTTACATGTTTCTCCTGGCTCACACTGACTCTGGTGAACTGGGGCTGTGCATCTTTTCCATGTGTCTGTGATCCTCCACTGAGGCACTCAGCGTTGTTGCTGTGTTAGTTGTCTGTGTCCGTGTGTGGCTCTTGAGTCCCATGCTTATTTGGTTGATGGTTTAGTTTTGCCCTGGTCTAAGTACAAACAGCAGGGTTTATCACCTTGCTTTACCCAGCATACCTGTTTGCTAGCAGATGCTTTATGCAGCAGCACATTCCAGGGGAGGGCCTCAGGTTAACATATTGCAGCTTCTCAGAAGGCGTGGGGAAAGCCTGTTCCAGAGGCTTGTGACTGCACCAGAGAAATGTAAACATCTCTGCAGGAGGGGAATGTTGGCACAGAGCAAGATGAGAAAGGTGATAAAGCAGTTGGTAGCCAGCTGTTTTCTAGACGCGTCATTTGGCCTCACCTGGTTGTTTTAATATATCCTGTATTTGAGGTGATGCCACTGTTCATCACGTCTTCCAGGCTGGGTCTTGATGGGCCCCTGTTCCTCTTCTTTTGCTTGGGTACAGGATTTCAGGCAGGGGAGGTGTGCATGTCACTGCTGGGTGGATGAGGAAGGATCCCGAGGTGCTGAGCAGTTGACCTGGCTCTATTTCTTCCTTGCTTCTCCCACCTTTGAAAGAGGTTTCATTCCATCGGATTCCCTGGTTTATAACTGTGTGCTCCTTTGCTCAGGTTGTGGCCTTTGGAAAAATCTAAGGGTAAGGAAGTGAAAAAGTTCACAGCTCCAGGAATTGCTTGGGACAGAAGTGTTGGTAGACCACTCGGGACAGAGGAAATGGGCAGGTGCTCCTAGGGCACACTAGTACTAGACAATCCCTCGGTATGGATGGCCAACATTTGTGTTTAAAGTAGGGCTGTCCAAATAACAAACACTTGGCTGTTTTGCAGGGAAGGAGGGAAATGAGAACAAGTTTTATTCTGTGTCTCCAAGGGTGATCTCAAATCCAAGGTCAAACTTTATCAAAACAGATGGGCAGTACCCCTGAACGCATCCTTGGCAAGCAAATTACCTAACTTGGTACCTGAGCACTTGATTCAGATTTGTTCTCCATTTTAAAAAAGTGACCTGGAAGTGTCCTAGTTCCTGAAAAAGGATCCTTTTTCCTCATGTTTGAGTTTTTAAAGGCATCTTAAAAGTCACTCACCTATAAAAGCTGAAGCATCCATCTTCCTTTGAAGCTGGTACTGTCAGGTTCCCAAGCAGCACAGGAGATACATCACAGTTGTCTACTCTAACCACATTTCAGGGTTTTTTTTGGTGGAACTGGCTTGAATCTGGTCCTGTGGCCTGAACTCCCGTTAGAACAGCAGTGTGTCTTCTGGTGGCATTTCATCAGGTGTGAACTTGCGTCACGCTGTTTCAGACTGCCCTGCCAGCTATACCAGAATGCAGTCAGTGGAGGTGCTTCGGGATGTTTGTTTGTACAGCAGGCTCCTGACACAGAACAAATAATTTGTATCATCGCTTCTCTGGATAGCTAACACTTGCTGAAGTCTTCAGATCTGTGTCTTTGAAAAGACATTTTTGTTTGGATAGCCAGATGGGAGTTTTAAGTCTACATGCAGAAATTCTGAGCTTGAAAATGTGTTTTTTGCTGCCTCGTACAGCGGGTTACAAATAAAAGCCTTAGATGGATTCTGAATTTTGTGTGCAATTGTCCATTTGAGGAGTTAATGATTTGAAAAGTTGTCAGAGTACCTGCCTTGTGGAGCACAAAGACCATAAAGCACCAGCTGTAACTGGGCATACTTCAGCTGTGATTACAGGCCATTTTCGGCACTGATATGAAATAATGTTGTTAGAATAAAACTAGAATGCCTGGTATTTTGTTGAGAGCATTGCTACGTATCCTCCTGTTGAACCAGCCAGTTCTTGCGAAGATGCCATGGTGCAATTTGGCATTCTGAGTGTTGCAGCATCTCATGTGCCTCGGAAACTTCCCACGCTGAAATGTTGCTTAGCACGGCTCAATATTCCTGAGCAAACGCTGCGCACGTGCACCTTACACAACACCGGACGTGCTCCTTCAATTAGCATTCGTGCAGAGCTGTAGCTATTCTGAGAGGAAAGATGTGGGTTAGGTGGAAAGAGATTGAAGGAGGCAAAAGGGTTGCAGGAAGTGAGAGGTGACTTTTCCCTCTGCTAAGAAGTACCTGCGCAGTCACGCCGCCCTGACCCTTCAAAATCCTTTGGGCTTAACGTTTTTACAGGTGCTTTTTTCTTCCCCTCCCTTTCTCAGATTTCTCCTCCCCTAGTTCTGGGTCAGAATAAAAATCCGTATAATCCTGATGTGATACAGCCTGGGACTGCTTCGGCAGTAGTACACGGAGTTTTGTTTTCCCGATGTAATAGTGGTTGGTTGGTTGGTTGGTTTGTTCTTCCCAGAGGAAAGGTGTCTGACTGTGAATGACATTCTGGTTGTCCTCAAAGGTAGAGATTTCAGACTTTGACCTAATCTTGAAATAGGATCCATTTCCTCTGAGCAGAGCTTTCCGCAGCAGTAAAATTACAGAAGTCTGGCTGTCCTGTCCTTTTGGACCTATTATTGTACCTACTGTGGTACAATTTGTCCCCGCACCCAAGCAGATCCACGAGGTGAAGAAAAGCAGCGTTTAACAAAGCTGATTATTTTCTTATGATAGCTAATTGTTATTTCAGACTTATCTCCCCTCTAGCTGTGGTACTGCAAATAGATTTAAATACCATCTGTGTGTTCATCCCCCATAATAGGAGTTACCCTTCACAGATGGCTATGTGTATGAATATTTGTCTGCATGTACTGATTGTTAATGAATCAACCTAATAGCATTTATGCTTCCAGATCGGTATTGAAAACCTGGCAGTTGTTTTCCGTACAGTGTACGAATGCCTCCCACACGCAGTCATGTGTGGTATTTTAGTATCTCCATCCAGGTGGTTCAGCTGTGTGCGGGGAAGGGCGGAGGTAACGTGAGGATTCGGAGCTGTACTCAGCTCTCAGAGGTCAATCAAGATTATTTTATTGTAGCACCTGAAATGAAGGTTCAGGACAAAGACTGCCACATCGCTAAGAGTTTAGGAGCCTAAAATTAGGCATGTGAAGCACTGTGAGAGTACATGAATGCCTGATTTATACATCTACTGTACAATTTCAGTACCTAGATAAGCAATCTTTGCTATTTTTACACAATTAGGAAGGTGCTGAAATTATTCCTATAGCTGACCTGACATTTGAAACAGTAAGACAGAAATCCTCATCTCAGATTGTCTAGAAGACCACGAAGTAGTTGGAAAAATCTGGTAGTAGTAGAAGAGGTAGTTGGACACAAGTCAAGGCATCTGCTTGTTGATCTTAGTAAGTGTTAATATATTTAATTACAGATTTTCGGCACTGTGGGACATGTTGCAGCTGTTCTGATTCTGACCGAATGGTCTTTCCTGCATCTCTTTCGTGGTTTTGGTGACACTGGGCCAATCAGCAACGTTCTAAGAGTACTGGTTGGAGAACATGGGATCTGGTAGTTCTGTAAATGCCAACTACAAGTACTCCCTGCAGAAGTCTGAAAATGGTGAGTGATCCTTTGAAAAGCAATCCTTTCCTGTCTGCTCCAGTCTGTGCAGTTGGGAGGTTTCGGTGGATGTGGTTTTTTTCTGAGTTACTTGGTTTTCTTGATGGTACTGAGGCAAGGTTAAGTCTTTCAGTACCCTGTGATGAGGAGTCTCAGCTTTCAGGCAGAAGACCAATATGCTAGAGAAAACCACAGCTATCTAGACCATGCTTAGATTAAAATCGATCAAAACTGACCAGAAATGAAGCACCAAAAAGCAACTCTGTTTCAGAACCAGCATCCGATGGATTAATCAACTGCTGGCTAATGCACATGTTGTCATGTGCTGACAGTGAGAGAGGTGGTACCACCTTGCTGCTTCCAGTGGACTCCCTTTTTAAAGACTGTGTTAGTGGCGCAGGACTGATAACGCAGAAGCATTAGTAAAGCCAAAATATATCTGGTTCTAAAGAAGGTAAGATGGTGTGGCTAAGAAAAGCTGTAAAGCAAAAAGTGTGCTTTTTTCCCATGTCAGTGCAATGCTCCTAATCTCTGCTAATGATCTAGAGCTGTTGATGGCTCTCGAAGCTGTGCAATGAGTTATTTTTATGAAACCTTTGTATGATAGTATCAGTTTTTCTGGGTGTGTGCTCAGGTGCGCGATGGAACAAAGGGAGTTTACCAGCCAGACTTTACACGTAGGGAAGTGCACAAAAATAAACAGACTGCTTTGTTGTTTAGTTCAGTCCTCAGCACTGGCAGAACAGCAGCATGGTGCAAACTGTTTGCAAAGTGTTTTGAAGCAGAATTGCACTTAGAAATTAAGAGAGTGGGGATACTGTTGACATTCAGCCTTTTTTGTCTGTCATTTTTCTTGTTGAAAGGCTCCACCTTTTCTTTATGTACTTTAGAGTCGTCTATTGCCTATAGCACCAGAGAACCATGGACTTTCCCAGCAAGTTCAGGACTATTTTATGATAGCGCCTTGTCTATAACAAACAAACTGTAACATAAAACTAGTTACTGATTTGAAACCCTGCGTTAGATCTGACACCTCACCTACAATTTCCCATGGCAGTAAAGTATCTCTGAATTTCTAGCATCTGGTTTTCAAAATCCTTCAGATCTGGGTCACAGGGCTGCACTGACAAGGCATCAGCTGCCTCTGCCTGCTCTGGGGCCTCTGGCTCTCTTGTAAAGGCTGTGGGACATGGATGGTGGAACGTATGCATAGTGTAAATGTTGCCATTTGCCTGCATAAACGTGCAACTTAAATAAATCCAAATGTTGAGAAGAACTTGGGCTGCGTATTTGCCAGGTTAAAGTTTACCAAAGAATGCTCCCTAGCACTAATTAAAACTTAAAATTTAGTTAGAAAATAACTTATTAGAATAGCCTGTTTCTTAGCATAGGCTTTCCTTGCTTTAGCTGTTGTTAAAATCAGCCTCTAGCTATCTGCTGGTATTTCTGCAGTGGGAATCGAACTCTGCTGGCACTGTCACCACCAGAGACCTGAAAGGGTAACTGTGGGATCCCCACTCTGAGGCAACTGGTTTGGTTATAAATGGTTTCAGAGAAGGAAGACAATATTTATTTGCTGCTGCTGTGTGAATTACACTGCTAGCATGAGCAGCCATGTTGTAGTTTGAGTGCTGCCACTTTGGCACGCTTTCAATAGCTTATGTGATGATGTATGATTCAGTTTACTGCTTGGATCCCCATAAAATGTGGATAAATCTCTTTCTCTTCCTTTTTTATTATTTTTTTCTAAACTAGTACAAACACTGCCAGATGAATCTCACTCAGGTAAGCTGGTAAATTACAATACCTGGCTTTTTCAGTTGCAGAGCCAGTCTCTGTAAAAAGCAGCACAAAACCCCAATGCTTTGCCCATCTGGAGCTTAAAATGCTGTGGATGGTGGTGTATATGCACACTGTGCATCTGATAATGAGTCTTTCATAGATTTTATTTTAATGTTTCAAAGGATCTAGATTTCATTTGTGTATGTGGAGTCATAACTATGAATTTCTGCTCAATTGAAGTACCTCTGACTCCTACTGCAGTAATTGGACATTTATCCACTGTCAGGAGGATGCAACGCATTTGGAAGTTGTTTTAGAGAGTGACTGTGACTGTAAGGCAGCTAGTGTTGGGTCTGTTATACAGGAGGCTTGAAGAGGTAGCACCAAGAGCACCAAACTGCAGGGAAAAAATCAGCTTTTTTATTTTTCCAAGGTCCAGCAGATCAGTAAGCACTTTCTCAGCAAGATATAAGGCCCAGGCAAAGAATATATACATTATTCTTGAATTAAGACTAGCCAAGTCTTACCTTCTTGCCCATGACTTGCCCATGGCTCAGTTCCCCAACGGCACAATGGCAACAGCTCTTCCCTTTTCATGCGCTGCAGCTCCTAGAACAGAAACACAATTCAGAAGGATTATTGTTTTCGATACGTAAGCCATCAGGGTATCTTCTTTAAGTAAAGGTCAATGTTTCCTGCAGAAGTAGATGGAGGCTGGTGTATGTTATATAATTAATACATGCTAATTGAATTAATGTCACCTCTTTGTCTCTTGCCAGCACTTAGCAGCCTTTGCGGTAGGGGTGTAGGGGTGGGAGATCTCCTTCTTATTAATAAAACTTTTCCACCTCACTCTCCCCCTTGCTCTCTGTGCTTTGGTGAACACAGCACTGTTCTCTCACAAACCACTTGCCAAGCAAATGCGAGCTTCTGCAGCAGGACAAACTCTGTAACTCTGTAGTCTCTGATTTTGGGGTCAGGTTGTAGGTAGAGCAGCCATCCCCATCCCTCACTCCTTCAGCTAAAGCTGACACAGAGAAGCACTGTTAGAAAATGTTTTCAATGTAGGGCCCTAGGCCAAGGCTCCAGAATTGAACAGGAAGGGACACCAGGCACAATTATGAGAAAGATGCCAAGTAGCAGAGATGGTTGGGAAGGTGCTGTAAAGTAACAGGCGGTCCAAATGGGGTCGAGACCAGCTGAGGAGGATGGAAGAGTTTCTACAGGTACTTTAAGCTCTGTGGCAGAACCTGAAAAAGAAAATGGGAAACTGCACCAAAGTACTTTATTTAAATATGCTCACAGCCCACCTGAAATAGTCCTTTAATGGAAAACATTGGAACTGGGGAAATGCAGAGGAATGGCTATGTTTTAAACACCAGTGCAAACGGTGTTTTGGAAATTCCTGGCATTTCCTTCCTTCTGTGTGATTAAGTGGCCAAAGATCTGTCTCTCCCTTTTCACTGTGTGTGCTAATGTTACCTTTACCTTATTCCAAGATAATGGTATGTTAACATTTAAGCTAGAATAGACCCTTTCTGAAGTTTGTCAAGGACTGCAAGAGCTGAGGTATTTATTTGGCTTAAAGGAAGGTAGACAAACTCTGTATTTTTAAGGCTCTGGAAGGAGATTAAGTGTCTTGTTTCCCCCAACTCCTCATGTGGCCTCAGTCAAATCTCTGGCTTCCTGAAGCCCCAATACCTAGATTGTAAGACAGACATGAAAATGATGAAGGTATATAGAAAGGGAAGAAGTTGTCTATTAACACTGACTAACATGTTTGGACCTCTAGGCCCTAAGAAGTTGCTGTTAATGCTGGTGCTGAGGAGCCAGCAGCGACGGTTAGATGTGCTTCAGAGGTCTCTGGTCATGCAGGGTCAGATCAACCTCTTGCAATACGGTGAAAAGAAATAAGCGGGTGCTCTGTTATCTTTAACATTCAGGCATCAGAACACCCTTCCTGAAACCTTGCTCCTGAAAGAGAAAGGTCCCTCTTAATTTTCAGGGTAGGACAGGAGCAGTAGTGGGGTACCTCAGTTGCAGCCGCTGCAGCTCAGCAGGTTGGTTCTGCTTTTGTCCCCTAGCTTTCAAGGCGGCTGTTTTGATCCAGCAGTGGTATCGGCGCTACGTTGCTCGGCTGGAAATGCGCCGACGTTGCACCTGGAGAATCTTTCAATCCATCGAGTACGCTTGCGAGCAGGATCAGATCAAGGTAAGGTGTAAAGGAGTGTGTGGGAAAATACACCCTGCCTCTGCAATTCCCTGTCCCCTTTTTTGCCTATCGATTTTCTGCCTGCTTGTGTGTGATGAAACTCTAAATAATGATCTTGAAAGAGAGCTATAAGGGCTGTTGAACATCCTAAACCTTTTCCCCAGCCTGAACACAAAAGGCAAGCCTAGTTGTTCGTGTTGTCACTCAACAGAATTTCACTCCAGGGTGAATGATGATGGGCTCTCTCCTTGCAGCTTCACAACTTCTTCAGTTACCTCATGGACCACTGCACACCGAGCAGCAGCAAAGAGAGTAAGCATCTCTGTATCGATTTGTAGTCTGATGCTGGCCCTTCTGGATGGCAAAGGGGGCCAAGAGAGTCCAAAGAGCGATGGTGTCAGGAATTTGGATAAGGAATGAATTGTCTGGAGACTGTCAGAGCTGTGCAAGGGATGCGGGACAACTCCAACTCCTTAGGAGCTGGAAGGGAGAGCAAAAGTTCAGTATGTTTTCAAAGAGCAGCATTAGAAATCTGCCTTTTTTTCAGTGATCCTTGGTAAGCACAGCTCTGCTCCAGGTTATCACCTACTTCATATATATTTAGTCTCTCTCTTGTAAATGTGGGGTGAAAGAAGTGCTGTGAGAACCAATACAGTATCTTTCTGCGTCTGCGGAGAGCATTATGTTATTTCTTAGAGCTGGGAACTTTTACTTTTACTTTGCTGACCATAACCTGTTGAAGTGCTCACTCCTTCCTTGCAAGCTGTCACCCCACCGCCCCACGCATTTTATAGCAAAGCTCTGTTGAGGAAGAGAAAGCCTAAGCAAACAGCTTTTCTTCAGCAAATTACTAGAATGGTGTATTAAGCCACCTTTTTTCTTGTCTCTTTCTCCTTAAAAAACCCAAATAATCAAACCAACCAATCTGTCATCCAGGGGATTTTCTCAGTCGCATGTTTATAAGTGGGGAAAGCTTCAAAGAGGCAGAGCTGGAAAAATACTGTGACTTTGAATCCATGGAGGTGCCAGACTCCTACACTGGACCCCGTCTCTCTTTCCCGCTCCTTCCTGACCATGCCACTGCCTTGCTGGAAGCTTTCAAACAGAAACAAGTAAGGATCCCAAAGGGAACCACGCTTTCCCCTTCTCTGTGCAGGGGTGTAGGATAGATAATTTGGGTTTAGACTTCCTAACAAACTAAGCCGCTTGGAGTATAACGAGCTTGCAAGCTGTTAGGCAAAGGGGAGTTGGAAATGATCTGGTAGAGATTTCCCCCTGCCATAAGAACTTCCTTCCTGAAAACGTAATTCTAATGAAATTGCACACTCCTCATAGGTATGAGCCAATATTAACCTGAATTTAATCTTAAAAGGGAAAAAAAAAACCAACCCACAGGAGTCCAGGCTGTCATTTTTTGTTGCAGTTCAGTTTGTAAAAAGGTATGGGATGGCCTAGATGGAAACAGCTGATTAAAATGATGTTTTATGCCATGCAACGTTGACTCACATTTAAAATGTAAAATGTGTGTGTGGGGGGGTTTCTAAATAAGTCCAGTACCAACTCAGCAGCACTAACAAGTCCTCGTACAATTGTAGTGTTCTGCTGCCACCCCTCAGTCAAGGTGCTGAACTGCAAAATAAGTCAAAAATCTCCCAACAAAACGACCTTAAAACAAAGGTCTCTAGGGTCCTGACTGATGCCCGCATCCTGGCTTTGAGCAAACGTATTCCTGCAGGACACATGGCAGCTGAGGGCCTGGCTTTAATGTGACAGAGGCTAAGAAAGAGGTAGAGAAGCAGCTCCTTACCTGTGATCCTGGGCTGGGATTTCTGCAGCTCTAGGAGGTGGTGTTGCCTAGCGGATGCAGCCTTGATCACAGGGTGTGAGGGCTTTGGGTTCTCTTGCCAGTGCTTTTGCCTGCTCCCCTTGTCCTGCTGTTGCCCAGTATTTACCTCATCTTTCTTGTAAGCGCTGACTGTTGTCCCAGTGAGTTGTGTGCGAGTTTCTGCCATCCAGGCTATTGCAGTGCGTCCTGGGGGCCTTTGCAGTCAGAGCTGCGTTGCTGCTCAGAGGTCACTGATTTCCTGCTTTAATCCCTTCTCTTTCTCCTAGTAGAAGCTCCACGCTCGCTATGTCTTAAACCTTCTGCATGAGACCAGGAAGCACCTCAAGCAGTTGCCAAACATCACTCACGTCTCCACCTGCTATAGCGAGGAGGTCACCGTGTGCGGTACGCCTGGGTGGGAGGGCACTGGGGCAGAAGGCTCATGTGGAAGGGGTGGGAAAGACACAAAATGCAAGCAGATATGAACTGAGAATATAAGGATATCCATTCAGCTAAGGGAAGAAGGGTGAGCCTGTGGCTCTCAAAATTGTTATACATTACAGCAAAGATTTAAAGAATTTTTCAATTGGATTCAAATTTGTCTTTGAGCACTGGCCTCAAAACTCAGTCATTTTCTGTCCTATTCTGTATTTTGTTGCCGTGCCTCTTCAGGCTTCATCATGTCCTTTTCCTTCGGGCACATTGCCTCAGTGTAAGGAAACCTGTACCTTGAACTTCCCAAAATATTTCAGTGGCCATTAATTTATAGAGGAGGTACTTCATAGGAAGTTATTTATTGGTGTCTTTTTAAGTCAAACACACTGTGACTTCTCTTTCTGTGCCTGTTAGGAGACCTGCACGGCCAGCTGGATGACTTGTTCCTCATATTTTATAAGGTAGGCATTGTATTTGGAGAGGGAGGCTGGCCAGGCATTGTGAGAGGTATCATACGGGTCATGCTGCAAAGTGTTTGCAAAACTGGGCCCTTTATGTGCGGTTCTCCAGGACAATTTGATTGGTTTTAAATGGCTTCTCAAAGCAGCAGCTTATTGCCTTGCTGACTTAGAAATCTGGAGAAGTGTTGTGATATACATGTGCATTTGGGAAGTGCCAGTGGATGTTTTTGTAAGTGCTGATACCAGTGGCATCCCCTCCTGACTACCAGCTTTCAATTTTCACTGAATTTGCTGCTGGGAGCCTACAGGATAAAAATACGAGTCAGTAAGGTACCCTGGGGCAGGAGTGAATGTGCAGCTGGGGTGGGGGGGGAGGTATTTGGGGATCACGGGGAGGCCTCTCTTGGAACATCTGCCTCTTCCTTTTACAGAATGGCCTTCCTTCCCCTTCCAAGTCCTATGTGTTCAACGGGGACTTTGTAGACAGAGGCAAACAGTCCCTCGAGATCCTCATCGTCCTCTTTACCTTCCTCTTGATCTACCCAAAGGAGGTTCATCTCAACCGTGGGAACCACGAGGACCACATGGTCAACTTACGGTACGGGTTCTGTGGGGGACTGATCACAGTGTCAAGTGTGTCGCTGCGAAATCTCACTGAACTTCCTTACTTCTTACTTCCTTACTCCTGTTCTTTAGCTACGGTTTTGCCAAGGAAGTAATGCAGAAATACAAGGTAGGCATATGTTTGTGTCTCCTTTACCACGTGAGATATGCACTTTCAAGGCTTGATGCTTCATCTTTCCCTTTCTGACCTGTCCTCCTAGGTGCATGGGAAGAAAATCTTGAAGATGGTTCAGAACGTCTTCTGCTGGCTGCCCCTGGCCACCTTGATTGATCAGAAAGTCCTTGTTATACACGGAGGCATCTCTGACACCACTGACCTGGACATGCTTGAGAAAATACAAAGGCACAAAGTAGGTTTTATTTCTCAGCTATTCCAAGAGTGTCGCTGCTTTGTGGTGGAGAGCGTATTTCTACATGTCAGCTTGGCTGTTGATGAGACAAATCTTAAGGGTGGTCTTCCTAAACAAACTGTATTTAGGTGCAGGCTTAGAGTGAATTGCTTTGCTTCCATCGTGTGTGTGCAGGAGGTGTGAAGGGAAGCAGCATTCTTGGCTTCTGGAAGGTGTGAGGATCGTAGCCAAGGAAGGGGTGGGTAATGGCATGGGTAAACAGATACGCTGATGCTGACTGTAAAAACACAGTGATGAGACTTTGTCTCACCGTTCCTTGGTCTGTTTTTCCCCCTACATTTCCAGAATTATTTTGATAAATAGTTTAACTCGTCTCTGCCTCACTTTCTAGTTCAGAAAGTCTACTTCCCCTGTCCAATTGAGGTTGCATTAGCCATGAGTACTTCCCTCATTCCCATTGCAGATTAAATCCACATACTCTACCTTTTGTGAAATGTCTGAGCAGCATAGAGTCAGTGAAGAAGAGACGGTTCTGTAGTCAGAATGGATGTGGGGCCCCAGCTGTAAGCCAGGAGTGGCACATCTGAGAGGATGGCACTAGTCATCTCCCAAAATTTATCAGTTTTTGATGGCAGTAAAGGGAATTCAGGCCTTCAGGCTTGATTCACTTAACAGTCTGCTGATGGAAGATGTTAGAGCTGGAGATGTGTGTCCCAGTGGTGTGTCCAGCTCTTTTTTCTCTCTTACCTTTTTCAGTTTATTTCTGTATTAAGAGGGAAGAAAAGAAAGGAGTCGAATAGAAATGTGGAAATACAGGAAATAAACGGGGAGAGCACAGTAGAGGCTGGCCCAGCACGTGACGAGGCAGCCCCCAGTTTATCTCTGCAGCCCCAGTCAGCCCAGGCTCCCAGCATGGCCAACAGGCTGGAGTTCTCCAGGTGGGTCCGGCAGACGGTGCAGGAGCAAATCGAGCGGTGCCGCCGGATGGTGGACATCAGTGAGTCGGAGGAGGAAGAGCTCACCTACTCCAGCATGGTGTCCTTGAAGGATGTGGATGAGCCGTGCTGGACTCGCCAGGAGGAGTGGAAGCAGGTGAGTTGTGTAAGCAGGGCCCTGAGCCCGGTGGCTGTGGCTGCCTTCTGCGGGTTTGTTCTGTTATGAGGAATCTCAGTACAAAATATGTGGGTCAGTGAACAGACCTCTCTGCAGAGAGATTTTTGTATAGTGGAGTTCAGGAGCAACTCAGTGTTGAAGTGCCAGCAGGCAGGCTAGTGGGGTTTGTGCTACTTTGTCCCTACTGCTCTGCTCCCCAGGACAGCCTGGCATTGATCATTCAGTGTAAGTGGCCATGAAGGGCTGTCCTGTGAGTGTGAGATCTCTGCTGACAAGACTGTGGAGCCCAGTGGTTATAGCGCTCGCTGTGTACATGGGGTACCTGACGTCAGCTCAAAGTAGGTAACGAATGAGCACCTAGTTTGCTGAATTTGTGGTTTTAGCTGGGCTGTACTGCAGTTAGGTTTCTAGGCAGGTCTGAGCCTGGGAACTAAGTTTTCTGTTTGTGCTAGACCAATCTGTAAGCTACTTCTGTGCGCTCTGAAACCTTCGTTACTTACTCCACATTACATATGACATCCTGGCATTGCACACCTTATCGGTATAAGGCTATATATTGAGGTCAGGGTTAAAGAGATTAAACTTTAATCCGAATAGTGGTTACCGAGTCAGCACTTACTTACATTACTGGAGGCTGTGGAACGTCCTGGCTAGAGAGCAAAGGAGTTTAATACTAAGCCTGCTCATGGCCTCAGGATCTGCTGGCTGTTCGTGCCCTGCAACCTGTGTTCTGGGATGGCAGAGGACAGGCAAGGCTCTTCGAAATCACAGAGGCAGCAAAGGGAAAGATTGTATCTGGCCTGATTTACAGACACCCCTTGTCCCCCAGGCACTTCGTGTGTGCCTGTAGCTCCATGCTGACAATATTGTCACCTCTGTGGTGGATCAGGTCAGTGACAGTCCTGTGGAGCAGTGCAGTCATTCAGCTGGGATGCCAGAAACATCTCTGTTTCCCTGCACTATGGTAATAGCAACAGTCCAGGGAGGGATTCAGAGATAGAGCTGTATTTGCTTATTAAGCTTCAAAGGGTGGTACCTGCTGGGTACACTTTCCTCAGTGAACTTTTCCAATCCTTTCAGATTTTAGACATTCTCTGGAGTGACCCCATGCCTCAGGAAGGCTGCAAAGTAAATACGGTGCGAGGTGGTGGCTGCTATTTTGGGCCTGATGTGACAGGGAAGATCCTTGAGAAGTACAACTTGCAGTTCCTCATCCGCTCCCACGAGTGCAAGCAAGAGGGCTACGAGTTCTGCCACAACCGGAAGGTTGGTGATGGGGACAGCATGAAGGATACTTGGGTTTCCATCCTGCTAGGGTGAGGTTTCTGTGGTGGCTTTTCTCAGCTCTGTATTTCTTCCAACAGGGCTTTGTTAAGTACATAAAAAATCCCTCAACAGCCTTATTGGGAGTTACTGAAGCGTGTTCCTAGCTGAGGTTTCACAGGTCTTAGGTCAGGGCAGTCTGGAGCTACCTGCTCTGTTGGGGGCATCTGTTGTGCAGGCAAAGCTCATCCCTGCGTGTGGTGACTGAGAAAACGTCTGAATTTGTGCCATTGCCCTCACTTTAAGCAGCTGTTTCTGAAGATGACCTACAAAAGGGTGTTGCTGAGCTGCTGCAGCAAAGCTTGGCTCCCAGAAGGTTCAGGATCACTTCAGTGATTTCAGCAGGGGCACTTTTGACTCTGTTCACTGCAGTGAGCATGGAAGCTTGTCAGAAGAATACAGTGAAATCGCAGGCAGCCAGTGTGTGGCCAGATCCACTTGAGACCAGTGTTGTCCTCAAGGAACTCACACCCATAAGGCTTCCAGGCCACTCACCACCTCGCTCTTCCTTTTCCACATTAAAACTTGCTGTTTCACAGTCTCTTGACTCCAGATGGGATTGGCTGTGTTGTTTTCACTGCTACACGTATACATAATAAAGACTGTACACACTGACTGTAAATGTCTCTCTTTTTTGGGTGTTAGGTGCTGACCATATTTTCAGCCTCAAACTACTATGAAATCGGCAGCAACAGGGGAGCCTATGTGAAACTGGGACCGGACCTCGTCCCCCATTTTGTGCAGTACCAAGCGAACAAGACAGCCCATACTCTCACTATGACCCAAAGGCAAGGCTTTCCAGTTGCTCTGTAGCCACCAAGTCAAAATTCTGCAAGGGAGAACTGTGGGAGCTTTGAGAAAGTTTGACTCTGGAGCTGAACTTTCAGAGCTTGATTTACTAAATAATAGTGCTAGAGAAGGATTCAAGCTTTGTGCAGCAATTACTGAGAGGCTCAAGCATTGAGGAGGGAGCATTCCACGAGCAGAAGGGGACTTGGTTTTACAGACTGCTGATTTTCCAGCTTCTCTTTTCACTGTCAAGTTTAGACTTTTGACCCTTGCTGAGGTTCCCTTCTGCTTTGTTTCTTCACAAACTGATGCAGGGATTCACTGCATTAGCTGCGAGGAACTGTGCTCCAGGCACACAGCACCTTATCATGAGCACTGCGATGCAGCTGTAGCTGTGCACAGCAGTTGTGCAAGGGTCCAGGCAATCCATGGCCAGGCCAAGGGACTGGGAAGGTGCAGCTTCTCTTGCATATTGTGGCAAGTCTTTAATGTGCTTCTCTCTTTTCTGCATCATCCAGGATCAGCAGAGTAGAAGAGTCAGCCTTTCGAGCTTTACGGGAACAGCTCTTTGCTCACACCTCAGCCCTCATCAACGCGTTCAAGGCCTACGATAAGGACAACACAGGTAAATCTGAGCCAAGCGGCTCAGGTTAATTCTGCAGTGGTGCAGGGTTGAAGTGGACAAGTTGGGTGCGTGGCTGGTTGGAACACTCCTCACTGATAGATGTCAGCAACTGTCACAGGAGGAGGCTGTGTCAGACCTTGCCCCAGCACTGGTCACATTTGCTGCTGTTCAGTGTCTCTGCTGGGAGCGTGTCACTGCCTCAGAGTTGTGTTATGATAACAGGGTGTCAGAGGAGAAGCAAGAGGTGATTAGCCTAATGTGTAGCAATTTAGACTTGGCAGTAGGAGAACCCTTTGGAACAGCGATGAAGCACTGGAAAAGATGATGACCTGGAACATGTCTGTCACTTGGGAAAGGATGGGTGGTTTCTAGAGCCCTTTCAGTCTCAAGTCTAAATCATGGGGAAGAGAGAAGTGAAGGATGTCCTCTGTGGCATCTGCATTAAGGAGGGAGCTGCGAGTTCACAACTCTGGCTGCTGGGAGTGCTCTGCTGGTGTAGCAACTGAGATGTGTTGCTGAGATCAGTTCATTTAAGGTGGGGAACACAGTTGTCAGCAGAACTGCTTTCTTGTGGGTATCTCTTCCAAAACTGTTCACAAAAGTCTGGTTTAGCTGTTACAGCAGCTGCTAAACTAGGAGCTTTTCCATGTTCCTGGGTCAGAGGAAGTACTAGTGCCATTGTGCAGGCCACGATCTGCAGGGTGACTCTGGTTGTATGCCACAAATATATAGTATGTCAGATGGTGGGACTGAAACAAACACACGCCAGTTGTCTTCATGTGCTTTCAACTGCCCATCTCTCAGGTCTCCATGGCTCTTCCTTTTCCTTGCAGGAAGGATCCCGCTCAGCAACTGGGCGACGGCAGTGGAGTCAGTCTTGCACCTGGGACTGCCCTGGCGAATGCTGAGGCCGCAGCTGGTGCGCAGCACGGCGGATGGCATGCTGGAGTACAAGTCCTGGCTCAACGACCTGGCCATGGAGCAGCGGAGCCAAGAGGTAAGAACTCTCCCCCCTTTCCGGCAAAGCAGCTCACAAAGTCCTCAGCACATGGGACCAAATATGGTAGGTGAGTGGATGGTCCCTGTATAATCCAAAATCATACTGAAAGTTGATGGAAATGCTTGCATGAGTTGGAGCAGTCCAGAGATGTTCAGTCAATTGTAGAAGCACAAACAACTCTGCCATGGTTAAAAAACGTAGCCTGAATTACTGTCTTCTCTGTTAGGAAGTGACAGTTTGCTATTGTGCTGTAAGGCATAGTTGCACAGACGGTCCAGTCACCACAAACCTCTATGGTCGACACAATGAAATGTGCATTGCTGGCAAATTCTTCAGAGAAGTAAACATTTTTTACGTATGGGAAGGTCTGCAGTAACTGCTCAGAGAAAACAGAAAGCTGGTGGAAAGGGTAGAAGGAGGGTGACCATGTTGTCTTTCAGCACATCCAGTCGAGCTTGCTGGAAGTCATTTATCGAAACAGATCCAACTTGGAGACCATATTCAGGATCATAGACACAGATCACTCAGGTAAGCAGAGGTGCAGGGGCTGTTGTTCACTGTGTTATATTCCATTCTGCTTTTGGGCTCCCTTTAGCATGTACATTGGCATTTTGATATCATGGTTCGGGTCCTCAGTCAAGGTTACTGCCTCAGGAGCTTCTGAAAAATGTCCTTGCCTGTTTCCACAAACATGAGGCATTTCGAAGGAAACTGTGCAGTTCTGGTACAGGATCAATAATTATTTGTTTAGCAGAACAAAACTTGTGATGAAAGCAACAGCATTAATGCAGCGTACTTGGGATCTTGAGCGTTACTGCTTTCAAGCAGTCATCTCCACCGAGTTACTTTGGGAAAGAGAAAATACAACAGTCTTTGCCTTCATTTATTCTTCCAAATTGTATTATGTGTCTTTACTGCTTCAAGTTGTATTTTAGCCACTGTTCTCCATACTAGGACATCTAGTTGCAGCAAGCGAAATGTAGATTATGAGTAATTTCTTTCCTTCCTTCAGAGGATGCAGGCAGCAGGGGTGGGATGAGAGGTCGAAGCTGAGCAGGGATCCTTCCTTGCATGCTGAGTGGAAGCAGTGGCTGCAGTGACTTTGCGCTGAGGTGGTTTGTGCCTTCCTTCTCCACAGGTCTCATCTCATTTGAGGAATTCCACCAAACCTGGAAGCTGTTCAGCTCCCACATGAACATTGAACTCACGGAGGACGGCATCAACGACTTGGTTCGCAGCATTGATTTCAATAAAGATGGAAACATCGACTTCAACGAGTTCCTAGAAGCCTTCCGCCTTGTCAAACAGTCACAGTAGCGAGAACCTGGGGGAGTTGCCACATCCAATGCCTTGACTGCCAGTGAAGCCAGGAGGACCGCTTCCTACCTAACTGCAGAGCGTGCCTGTAGATGCCAAGCAGGGAAAGGGAGGGCAGGTACCTGTAGCACTTCTTGGTTAAAACAGTAGCCAGCAGCTGGCTACTGGCTTCCATTCTGGGAAGGCAAAATAGACAAGCTGCACTTCAAATGTGACCATTTATAAAAAGGAGCTGCATTTTAAGTAGAAATTCCTGCTCAAAGGGAAGATGGAACTTAATTTCTCTTGTCAACAGATGTGATGAAATGTTTCGGGTCTATTCAAGTGTAGTAAAATGGAAGTAAAGGTATCTCTTTAGGTAGTGTTTTAGCCAGCTAGCAACTGCTGGAGCCCAGCTCTCCTTCTAATAAAGTTTTTTTCTAGATTGCTGTCTGTGGGCTGTTTCTGTCTTCTCTAATTTGTCAAGTCTGTTAGCAACAGTGCTGTTTCCCCCTTGTTGCTCCTTTGCTGTGATAATTTTGTTCTGTAAGTATGACGCTACTAAATATGTGCAGTGGAGCAACACTTCAAAAAAATCTATCCTCTCAAACATGCAAAACTGTCTGTAGCACAGAGCTTCTTTTTATTTATTTAAGATCTGTTGACACCCTGCTACAGTGCCTATGCTGCATGTTTGAGATATTTTCGAAGCATGGTACAACTGCAGCTTAAACAAAAGGAGGGGGTGGTTTGAAGTGTTTGCAAAGAAAAAAAAACACCAATTTATCTCAAACAAGGCACTCTGGCAGGGGCACTGTGTAGAAGACTTCACTTAGACTGCTACCCCGACCCTTGAAAAAGAGAATTCTGGCCTCACTCAGTTTCTTAGAAGAACCCCTGTCATGGCCTGTGTTGCACATTTGAGATATTTTACTAATTAAACCATGCTTCCAAAAATAAACTAATCCTTTTCCCTCTTAATTGCAGTTCCACATATGCTTTTTAATCTGTAATGGAACCATGCTTCCATATATAAACTCAAATGCCTAATACAGGATCTAGTAGGGGCTCTTTTAAGAAAACTGCTGAGAATTTATTTCTCTTTTTTTACATTTCAAATTGTACAAATGCAAATATTTTTTCTGGTGGCTAATGAACAGAATTACTCTGTTGCTACAGTGTTGGAATTCTTTATGCCATACAAATGCCTACTGCAGAGAATCATGTATTTTTTTTTTACATTATGTTCAGGGACTTTTGTAATGAAAGAAAAGGCAAAGGGGGGGGCTCTCTCTGGTGCATGTAGGAGCCACCTACTCTGCAGTACTTGGTACCAGGTACAATCGAAGCAACTTGACCTTGTATTTTAGTTTGAGGACTGAGGCCACCAAGCAGTTCCCTGGCATTGGGATTGATAGGATGTTACCTGCAGTGCCTGGAGGAAAGTGAAGTGCATTAACCTGGAGTTGTCAGCAGTTTCACTGTTTTGCTGATTTATGTAACTGAGAAAGATCCAATACCATGCACAAGTTATTACAAAGTCAGACTGAATTTATTGCTCTCTGGCAATTAAAAAAAAGGCAGAAGACAACGTCTAGACATTCTGTTGGCATTTGAAAAGCAGCAAAGCTTTGTATAACTCACATATATAAAGTGATATAAACAGAACCTTCAGCTCCTTGCAGTCCAAAGGAAGGACAGAAACTGGAAAGACCAACTTCCTGCAGCTTGCCCAAGTAAACTACTGATACTGTAGAGACTGACATAGTTACAGCAACATACCTATCTGTAACGACTTACATTAGCTGTTTACATGATGTTGTTACTCAATTGCTTTGACAAACACACGGAAGCAGGCTAAGCTTTCCACAAACCAAGTCACAAGTAGACAAATCCCTCAGCACTGCATTTCTAAAACAATGCTGTTGTAAAAAAAAAGGAGAAAAGAAAAAAATGTACAATAGTACATATAGCTTTATAGTAAAGAGTATCTGAACAGATTCAGTTTTCCTCCTTTTATTAAAGCATATACAGCTTTATAGAATAGAAACCTTCCAAAGGTCAAGTTCAAAAGCTTAGAAGAGGCTTTGCTAATTCTAAAGGTAACAACCAAGATACCATTGCTCCTTGAAGTGTTTTATTTTACCTCACCAGTTTTGGCCTTGGAAGGTGAACCATGAACTCGAGTATCATGTTCTGTGTAAGCCCAGCAGGACCCACCACATCAACTGAAGACTCCTCCTCTGATGGGGATGCTCTCGTTCAGGCCGTGTTCTATAAGTTTGATATCCTCCAAGTCATCCTTTATAATGCTGATTAGGTGACTCAGGCCTTCTTGCTGCTGCTTCAGATGCTGCAGATAGAGTTTAAAAAACAGCATGAGTATAGTTCAACTTCACAGATTTTAAGTTACTATTTCTCAAAGGGGCCATGCCCAGTGGCCTTGGCACATGGAAAAGCCTGGCATAAACTCCTCAGAAGAAAAAAATGCCATTTTCTGCACTAATAGTTTAACTGCATAGAAGGTCTTTGTACAACCCTGATGCACTGTTGCTGACAACAATAAAAAGGACTTCATCATCAAATAATTACAAAAACATGACATTCTAGATACAGTCCACCAAGTTAGCGTGTAGCTGGCTTAAATTATGACGTCCAAAGAGTATCCCAGGATTCTACCTGGTAATACTTACTTGCTTGATTTCCCGTAAGAGGTCTGCATCTATGTAATAGCGCTCTTCAGCCTGCACTGCTCCAAAGTGGTTTTGCATCCTGATCTGGGACATGAGCTCATTCAGTCTGCCCTGGGAAGGGAGACAGACTTAAATCAAACGCAACTCATTTACATTTGTCTGAGCTCCAGCATGTACCACCTCCTCAAATCATCAGGGCAGGAAGCATTACCGCTCATTCAACTTTTTCTTCTTTTTTCTTTGGAAGACATGCAAAAGGCAACAGCTCTAATACTTGTATGAACTCAAAAATGCCTAAATACCTGTAAGTCATGCAGCAAAGAGCATGATGCTACAACCCAGTAACACTGCTGGACTTCTCTTCTGAAAACTTCCCACAAAGAAAATACATATGCATGGCTTGGAAAACTTACATTCTTTTGTGAGGAAAAAACCCAGGGATTTTGGCAAAGTGCTATTAACTACTCACCTTGAACTGCGTTGGTGCATTAAGTTCACACTGAATTGTATCTAACTGTACACGAAGCTGCTCTTCATCCGCTTGAATAGCGTAGCCACTTTTCCTTTGGATCTCCTGCTTTATTAACACCTACAAAATAAGCCGTTGAGGTTCATCAGAGACCACTCTGCCCATCTCTTTCCCCACTAGCCCATCCCCATGTCTTTTTGCCCTTCCTCCAGCATCTCTCTCATCAGATTTATTCTGTCATTTAGTCTGCTGCTCTGAGACCTCAGGGCAGTCCCACAGGTTCCAAGTAAGTGAGAAAGAATGCTCCCAAAGCAGTAAGACATGCGGCTCACCTGAAGCTTTCCCTGATGGCTCCTTCTGTTACTTAATGCAATACCATAGAGATGAAGTCAGAAATTAATTTTCAACACTGGCCATACACGAGACAGCACAGGTCATCATGCCCCCTCTCAGTCTGCCCCCTAGCACTAGACTGCGTGTCAGAACGAGTTGTTTAGACTATCCACGTTACCTGTAATGTTCTGTGAGAAAGCGCCATCAGTTTCCTTTTGTACTGTGCAATTTTTGCCATAGTTGTTGTTTGGTTTTTCTGCAGCTCGCTGATATCTTCTGATATTATCTGCAGAGGACATGGAGTTAGTGGGAAGTTATAAGTGTTTCTGATAACAGAATGCATCAGACCTGGTTTGAAACTAAGAGTTCTAAAACAGCACTCAGTCCAGCAAATTAGCATCCTTGTCAAATAGGCTTTCAGAAAGCTTTTGTCTTGACCTCTACTGTCCTGGTTTCTATTTATTTTCATATGCAATTAAGATTTTCAGAAGGCATCAGAAAACTGGGTGCCCAAATTAGAGTCCGTGCCAGTGCAACTTAATTTGGCTGGCTTGAGTTAGCCTATAACACGACAGCAAGCTTGAAGCTGAAAAAAAAACAAAAGCCAAAATGCACTGCTCTGATTTTGGCAAAACAATAGAATTGAGGAATATATTAAGAAATAGTGACAAAAAAATCACATCCCCATGCACATGGTTCCAGTTTCAGTTCTCAAAACACAGAAGGCACAGGGCAGGCTCATTTAATAGCACATCCTCCATCAAGAGCAAGCAGTCAGGAAATATGAGAAACCTTACATCTAATCGAGTTTGATGCTGTTTGGTCATCTGATCTTGGACCTTCAATCTTCTCAATAGTTCCTTGAAACCCACCATTGGCAAAGGAATAAGCCTGTAAGAACACAAATATTTCTTATGACACGCTTTTAAGTTAGACACATAGTATGGATTAGTAACTATGAATGTAATCTAAAGTTACAGATGATCTTAGCTTATTATAAATTAAGATAATATATAAACGTATCTTGTTTTGCTAAGTTCTAGAGTCCTTACTATTCCGAACAACCTGTTACTTTTTCATAAAGAAATCAGCCTAAGTTATCTATAACCTCCGGAGGGTACGAGGCTACTTTCAGCTGCAGGAATAAAGAGAAAAAACATAATAATTGCAAAAAAATAAGTCACAGTAACTAGTCCATATAATGGAAGACACTGCAACTCCTAGTAATGCAAGCAACGCTATTTATCCTTACAAGCCTTAAATGCCTAAATGGGTAAAGGGATTAGACAGGCATTTCTAGTAATCCTCACTGTTTCAAATGAGATCAGCACTTGACAAAGTTATTCTCTAATAAGTTTCTTGCAAGTTATCTGAAGGGCACTACACAATATATTTCTCCCCTTTCCAAATGTTGGTTGTCATACTTGGATAGACTATTAGACTTACTTGTCAGGATCAGGATTATCAACTTTGGCTTGTTCCCATATAATAGGATCGACACCTTAAAAAAACCAAACAAAACAGTTTTTATGATGGGTAGATCTGAACAGGTATCACATCTTAGGGCTGTTAAGCAGGAAAAATACCAGGAAGTACACAAACCATATGAATTATGCTAACCTGAATGACTGCTGTAAAAATTAAGATTAATTAAACAAAGGTAGTTCTTGAAGGCCTTG